TAGTTGTAACCTCCAATGTAAGGTGAGCTCTTGGTGGCATGCTGTGTCCTAATATACTTGAATAAAAACATCGCAACACCCAAGAAAGAGACTTTAACTTAAAAAAAAAAAAAAATAAAAATAATTGAATAAGATTTTTAAAAACAAGAACTGCAATGTTTCAGAATAATAACATTTTATTATATTAATATAAAAAGATTTAAGTCCAAAGAATATTTAATAAAGAAAAAAATTATTAAAAAGTTTTACTAATAATAAATACAATTTTTAAATTTTATTAGTTAATTATTACATTTTAAATTTTTAGCCAATTATAAATTACCATTCAATTTCATATAATTGACCAATTATAAGAAAGTTATCCTATAGCATAAGGCTATACTATTTATTCATACATATTGTAGACTACAGAACTGTAATCCTGAAAGCATATGGTCAATATGATGAAGTAACTAACTAGCTAAAATAGGTTTCTCAATATTAAAAGTTATAAAAATTCTAAACATTGTATTGGGTTTTTAAAAGGTATCAATATAAGTAAATAAAAGTATATAATAAAAATATTTCACTCTAGAAAAAAATGATAGTTTGTAATTCCAATAAATTCATCACCTTTATAATTACATATCTTCTTACATTATAATAAAATACTTATATTTTGATCTACTGCTTAAGTGACATAAGTAAAGATAGAAAAATCGAGGTTTTTTTGAAACTACTGCGCAGGCTGCACAACCTATACAACCTCAGTCTCTAAAGACTTTTACTCATTAGGTTTTGTATTTATATATAAAACATCTACTTAATATGTGTAAAGTTGGGCTTCCATCATTTTTAATTAATGCTCTAAGATTAGTTTAAACATCAGTTTTTGTTGTTTTGCGTTTTTTTCACTTTTTTTCTGCATATCGGTGAATTGATAATTCTGATCAAATTTGCAGATCATTTGGCCAGATCTAGAACAAAACAACTTTAAATGTGGTCAAATGATCTGCAAGTTTGACCAGAATTATGAACGATGGATTCTATTAATCAGGTGATGTAGATCCGTTTTTCTTTCAGGCTGACCCGAACCGATTTCCGATTGGTAATTCAAACCTGGATTATAAAGCTGGCCAGAAGGGCAGAATTATGAAAATTGCACTGCGCAGCCTCAAAAAATGCCTGCGCAGTGTCCCATCTCTAGGCATAAGTAGTACAATCATCACTCTTGTAATCTTGCTCATGTGATATCGCAAAATGTGCCATTACCATGTCCAATTAATACTCAATGTACTGAGGACTACCGTGGTTGTTTTCCAACTCTCTCAATGTACCATGGACAGTTGAGGTTATTGTTTGAGGTCCAATAGGAAGGTTCCAGTCGTGGTTTGGTTATAGTAATAGTGGATAATAGATCCAAGAGTTAGTGTGTTAGTAAGCTGTATCAGTATCAAAAGATTTAAGACAAGTGGAAAGAAAGAAGCCACCTACTATCTTAACTCCACTCGTCAAATAAAACTGCCTCTTATCGACTAAGCCCATTATATCTCCATTTCAGGGGGGGATAAAAAATTTTTTTGAAATAATACGTAATCCTTTGTTACTAAAATTTTTTTTACTACGTATAAGGAGACTTTTTTATGACAAATAAACAATACCAATAAACATATTTTTATGATATTCGTCAAATTGACGTCATTAAACTACTGAATAAATTGGGGCGACCCTATAATCGATTCATACCATAACTTTTTGTCATAAAAATTTTCGTACCGTACATGACCAAACCTCAGTCTTTACTTACACCTGAAATTGAACAACAACTTAGCTATCCAAGTAAGGCCGTGATATTCTTTTGTTTCATACTAGCAAACGTTAATATGTATTGTCTCCTATAGAGTACTGGGAAAAGGATTCCACATTATGGGGAAGTGTAGCGGATTGGGATCTTTATTTTATCAATGAAATGCCTGGCTTGTCATGCGATGCATCACATAAAACACTAGCGAGTGAACTCGAAATACTTCTTAAGCACTTTTCTGAAAATAGTCGTGAATGGTGCAAAGCAAAAGCGATTAGGAAACAACTGAAGGTCTGTTTCATACTCTGATGTTAAGATTGCATAAGCCGTACCCTGCGGTTTCTATCGATTGACGGGCATTCTTCTGCTTGCCTGAAGTGGGTAGCATGTTATGGTCTGGACTTAAAATCCCATTATAACATGTGTGGTTACGCTATCAATTTCTTTGCGAAGTCGTACCCTGCGGTTTCTATCGATTGACGGGCATTCTTTTGCTTGCCTGAAGTGGGTAGCATGCTATAGTCTGGACTTAAATCCCACTATAGCATGTGTGACTGCACAATCAATTTTAATATTTATCATATACTATATTTAACATTTACTTCAGTTTTCCTTTCTAAACTTTTGTAGCAAAGAATCCCCGGCAATACTATTACCTCGGCGATTTGGAAGGAGAATCAAGAAGCAATACTACGGGCTACAGTCGAAAATAAGATTAATGAAAGTATTAATAAGGTATTCTGCCCTGCTTTGTTCTGAATTAATTTACAGTTTATCTTTTCTCATATACATTGTAATTATTAGCGTAAAATCGAAGATGTAGCGAGGAATGTTACAAGTGCAACAGCAAAAGTTTGTTACACACTGAGTAGTTACGAGATCCCAAAACGTACTCGAATAGATTACAAAGACTTATATTATAATGTCGAAGACAGTAACGATGAGGAGGATATAGACCTTCCGGAGCAATCGACTAGTGAAACATCACCTGTGCAATCAACCAGCAAAACATCATCTGTGCAATTGACCAGTAAAACATCACCTATACAATCGACTAGTGAACCATCATCTATACAATCGCAATCAACTAATGAAACATCACCTATCAAGGATTGCCTGAAACAATTCGAAGAAGCATACTTGGAGTTAGATCTCAATCATATGTGGTTGCTAAAAAGTGGTCGTAAAGTAGAAGAAGTTATTTATAAATTCGCCAGAAATCTTCCTGAAGAGTCATATTTACACTCATTCATAATCAACGATATTGATGTGATCACCAAATCACTATTTTCGAATGAGGAGTGGAAGGAAATCACAACTTCAGTAGTTAAGGATAAACCAAAACTTGGGAATCCTCTTATAAACCTACTAAAAAAATACACCGTTGATAATGTTGAAAGACTACGGGATGTTCTTTTCGAACCATTTATACCAGATGGATGCAAATATGATCGAAAACAACATTTTGATCTTGATTTTGTTAATAGTGCATATCGAGGACTTCTACGTTTGTGGGAAATGGAAGAAAACCCTATTACTGACTCTTTATTAGAAGGCTGGTATGAAATGAATATGTGGAGTCGAATAATTGACCCAGCTTTTGACAATCTCAATATTGATTTAGTGCGTGGTGAGGGTATGAGTCATGCATCAAGTGATAGGAAAAATCTTACCAGGGCAACAAGTGATCGTAAAAAGCTTGGTCGAAAAGGTGATGGTGTGTTCAGATTACGTAAGGATCGTTTAGAATTTGGTGCTATAGAAGCAGGTAGAAAATGGGAAGGAAATAGTGGAACTAAACATATGACAGATTCGTTAAAAATCTGTAAAATGTTAAAAGATATGTTAAACCAGCTTGCCATTGAGTGTGATATGAATGAAGATCTCGTGAGGAAATTACAAGTAGTCGGAATACTTAACGGAGCAAACAGAATTCAGGTAATGATAGTCGACCTTCCTAAGGGATACATTACTCGTATTCAACGCAGAAAGGTCTATGAAATTGCTGGCCGTCTGTCAAAATCTAAACCGCTTGCTTTTGCTCTAAAAGAAATACTTTGTGCGAAATCTATTATCATGCAGACGTTCGATATAATAAACAAGAAAGACGATGTTGATCTCGAGAATTTTCTTGACGATTCTGATGATCAAGATGGATATCACACACCTCCTAGGACCATTGTATCAAAGACATTTGTGACTCCAAAGAAAGAGGGTATTAAAGATGTGATTAATGAAAATAAAAAGAAGTAAATAGTGTTAGATATAAACTTTATGTATAGGGAAACTTGTTCACGTGATATGTTCTTTTTGATTGTAAGCCATATTGTTAGCATTCGTATATTACTCATTGGACATGTCGATTTGGAATGTATTCCATATATAAATTTAAATAAAATATCATTTTTTATCTTTTTAAACGCTTTTCAAATAAATTATTCGTTTATAATTCAATAAAACTTGATTTATATGTTTTGTTTATTAAAATTTAAATTTTGTATCTTTTTTTTTAGAAGGGATCTCTCTTATCTATTTTTTTATTTTAGTAATTACACAAAAAGTAAATTTTGCAGGCAAATTTGCCTGTATAATGTATTAAGAGATAAGCAATATTTAATTTATTAGCTTTATTATAATTAAAAAATTATGGATAAAATTCTACTTCAAAATAATCTTCAAACCAATGCCACCATTCTAAAAGATTCAATAATATAACTGGTATCGTGAGGTCCAAAATCTTCGGAGGTAATACCTTCGTTCGTCGATCCAACATATTTCAAACATCCAGGCAAGTATCGAATCGCGACAATTAAATTGTATTCTGGTGGTTTTTCAGTTAATTCGAGTTTTCCCACATGAACCAATGCTACAAGAAAATAAAAAAATTTAGATATTGAAAAAAAAGCAAAATGGTTTTTTTATAAAATAAAAAATACCTTTGATGATGTCAGAATCATCAGTAAAAATCCATGTGCCCCAAATTCTTGTGTCTTTTCGAGTAATGCTAGCGGTGGTGAGCCATTTTGATGAGATCATTATTTCAACTATGTCACCAGGCTTTGATTTTGAGACCTTCGGATAATTATAGAAGCTATCTACTACCTTAAATAAAAAAAAAGCCCAGGGTTAGCAAAAGAAAAAAAATGAATATATAACTTTTATATTTTTATTTATTTACTTTCGGCTTAACAATCATCTCAAATAATGGGGATTCTTGAGATGCTAAAATTAAAGCCAACTCATCTTCAAAGGATACTACGATACGGTCATCGTCTTCGTCCAGAGAATGAAGCTCTACACGTTGGTCATAACTTATGTCGAAGCGTTCGCGTAACTGATCGATGAGAAACAATTTGGTCAATTTATATAATTTATATTGGAATAATTCGCGAAAAAAATTTAAAATTTCATATCTACCTTTTGTTCTAACTCTTCTAAACTAATATTCTCCCTTATATCAATTTTACGAGCAATTTGCTTACCATCACGCTTAAATCTGATTTTGATAATCATAATTCAAACCGTTAAAATGCTATTTCTCAAATTTTCTAAACTTAATAAATGAAGATGAATGTCAAGTTTTTGAACGGTAAGAAAACTTAAGTTTACAAAAATATTTCAATTTGTTAGTTAATGTTCAATTTATATAAGTAATAAATAAATAACAACGTCTATCAAACTTAAGCAAAAAAATACAATTCATACTAATATACATGATCAGTATGAATATTGCACCCTAAGTCACTTATATGACAAACGTTCAATAATGTACAATTTCAAAATATGACCATATTTTGTAACTTATTTTAATTAAAATGAAGAACAGCCTCAAGAAGGTAATCTTTTTTATCTTTTTGAAGGATTGTCTATAAATCAGGTGTTAATATCGATATTCGGTTCGATTTTCTTAATTTTGTATAAATATAGAATGTATATAAATACGTATCAAAGAAAATATATTAGATCGTATTAGACCGAATTTTAATGGTATACATTTATTTAATATTTCAATAATCAATAATTGCACATTTATGCTAATATTATCATGTGTCTCAACACTTGGAAAAAAAGAATAAAAATTTTCCGTTAATTATTGGATTGTATTTTTATTATTCGTATTATTTTCTTATTATCCTTATTTTTTTTTTTATCGATTTAAAATTATTCTTTACCATCCGTCTTGGTCTTTTCAACATTTGACTCTGACTTATATCATCCTAATAGCAGGATTTCAGTAAGTAGAAATTGAGTATTATTTTATCAACTAACGATATGACGAGTATAGAGATGGGATAAAATGCGCATGATTCGGAATCATGAATCAAGTGCATTAATGTGCGCACGATAAAATTTCTATATAATTTACTTATAACTGTTCTCATAAATTCTGGGACAATTGATAAAAATTGATAGGCCGAATTCGATAAGTTTTTGAATTCGGTTGTTATCAAATTATTGTAATGCCGAAAATCCAATTCCGATAACACCGAATTCAAAATTCGGCAGATCAGTTGTCCCAGAATTTGAGAACAGTTGTAAAATTTCGATGGGATAAAATCGCATTAATGCGCACGATTCGGAATCATGTACACGTATGAAACCTATCTTTAGACGGCTTAACGAACTAAATTTAAAGTACCGAATTTTTAATAGGAAATTTCAAACGGCCATAAGGCTTCAAGAATAAAAAAAAAAAGGTCACACTTAGTATGAGAAACGATAAAAAGACGTGTTTTACTTGCCATTTACTAATTTTATTAAATCACTAGCGAATTTAATCTAATGTGTCGGCTGGCAACCAATCAGAGCGTTATTCAATGACTAGGATTTTATTAATGGTTATTAAAAATTTTGATTTAAAAGACGTATATAACGAAATTTTTTTAATATTTGTTAAGCCTATTAAGTTATATAGATATAACGCATATGCTGTATAACAAAACTTCTGCACTATATTTTCTTCAAATTACTTTGTATTGACGATTATCAAGGCATAAATATCATGCCAAAAGCAATTACAGCTGTTTTCAAAGAATCGGGAAATTCTGATTAGTATTGGCTTTGAAAATTTTGGAAATCTAGGAAATTTTGTCAATTTCTCGAGATAAGGTGATCTGCGTCTGTTCACAACTTTTTGATAAAATTTTTTAAAGGATCATCAATGATCTATATGGGGGTAATTACAGAATTATCAAAAATAATTCCCCATATTTTCACATGTTAAATTGTTATACTAAATGTTCTCCATTATACGTATTATAAATAAAGTAATATTAGTCCAAGGTTCAAAAATAATTATCCGTATGTGAAAATGTTTAAGTTTGGAACCGGATTTTTATTTTTCATGCTGAACCTACTTTAAAATTTTTTTTGACATGCATTTTTAGATTTATATTAGAATTTAAGGTTAGAAATATTACTAAGAGTATATGGGGACGCCCACAGCAAAAGCAGGGCTGGGACTATATATTATATAGTCCCAGCCCCTGCTTTTGCTATGGGTGTTCCCATATGTAGATTTCAAACCTCAGTACTAGTCGAGACCATAAAAGATCGTCATATATGCACCAATCAGATCTTTTTGAATAATCAAAACAACTAAAACCTCATGTTAGGAGATATACGACGTTCTCACTATATAGGACAACTTTCTCATTATTGGATGATTGTGAAGCATGTGACAATAAACCAATTAAATTACATCATATTCGTAAACTTAAAGAAAAAAATGGGCTATATATGTATTTTTTTAAATGCCTATCACACCTTTATACTGAATTAATATAGTATTTGAGTTTATTATACCCAAAGCTCGTTATGATAAGACTCATTAGTCTCTATATATATACACTTTATGCTTTAAACCTCTTTAACATAGCTTAGAAATAGCTTATCTATTGTTAAATAACAGCTGTATTTAACGATTTAGTAATTACATATAGTTCTATAGTCACAATATATGTGGAAATTTCACCTTCTAGGTAAGGTACCTTTAGGTGCAGGATTATTTGGCATAGTGACTGTTAGCATTTCTTCAAGATAGTGATGAATTTATTTTTTGGGAAAGTACTTTAAACTGTATAAATACAATTGCAGCCCATTTTGACATATAGTTCATTTTGAGTTTAAACTTTGATTTTCGGACTGATCCGGGATTAAGCAAATTTCACGATTTTGATTGGTTAAAGTAGCAGGTGACTATCGGGTAATTAATTTTCCTTTTACATTATCTCCATTTTTTTATTATGCAAATCGACATTTATAATTGAAAAATGTCAATCATATCAAAATTTACATGAACTTAATAAAAACTCATTTTTCGAAAAAATTGCAAAATGGGCTTTTTTAATACATATGGGTAGCTTTTTAATCGACATGTCCGGATGTCCCTATTGGAACTAACCACTGGAAATGATCTACATATGCACGAAAGTTTTGTTTTTGATGCGCCTTATTAATTAATTCATATTATCACTTCAAAAATATAATTTTGAAAATTTCTGTAACACAACAATCTCTTGCGACTTCGCTCCAGGCTTTTCCTAGTTTGTTTATTGGCCATAAAAATATATAAAAAAAAAGAGAATTACTATTTGTACCTGGTGAGTATAATACCCGGTATAAGAAAAAGAAAATTCAAAGATCATTAATATTACAAGATAACCATATGGGCAGCCGTCAATAGAAATAAGGCAAATTGACATTTTAAAAAAAAATCCAATACCTTAACTTTCACAGCTCATACCTCGATAGATTACCTCGATAGATTTTAATGTTGTCTTGATAATTTAATATTCAAAAAAAAGCTTAGATTGTAAGCTTTCTTTTGACTATTAAATCGTTAAAATAGCTCAAAATCCATCGAAAGTTAAGGTTCTTGAATTTTTTTTAAAAATGTCAATTTGCCTTATTTCAAAAATAGTTCAGCACCTAACTTTACATATAACCACACATATTTCTAAATTTAACCCTAACCTTAATATATATAGGGCACTAAATAAATATTATATCAGATATTATACGTACTCTATGAGTAAAGATAGTAAATTTCTAAAAAGAAAAAATAAAACACCTATATATAATTTTGGTGCATAATTATCACATGACTCTAACTAGCGGCTTTACGTATGTATAATGGGAGACATATTATCCCTAAAGAGTATATTCTCATACGTATAGGCGGATTTATGGAATTGATATTAGGGTTTGTTTTTTGTTTTTTTTTTACTTTAAATTCAAATATATAAATTTTTAATAATTTTGTTACCATTGTGTTCATATTTAAGACGATTCTAAATCATCCAAATCCAATCACAGGATCATGAAATAATACATAGTCAAGTGACATACCACAACGTATATTAGAATCGTCTTAAAAAGATGAACAATGGTAGATTCAAAATTATTTGAATTTAAAGTTTTTTTTAAAAAAATCCCAATATCAATTCCATAAATCCGCTCATATCAATATGTGATATGAAAATATCCGATTTTTACAGTACGTAACACATTAAAAAATAGGTATAGATAGTACTTAATAGAATATGTTATACGATTGTAAATAATTATTAATACTTTTTATTTTAAAAACTACAAAAAAAAATTATAAAAAAACTAAAAAAAATTCTTATACATTTTGTAAGGGTGTTTTTTTTTTTTTTTTGCTAGTTAAAAAAGATGCATAAATGAAAACTCTAAATACAAAAAAATTTTTATCGATTAATTATTTTTTATGAATTGTCTTTTTTTTTTTTTAAAAGAAAACTTTCATCAAACTTTTCTTTTTTTTTTTTAAGAAACTTTCATTAAACTATTTTTTAAGATTAATGGCTATAAGCAACAATATAAATGTTTTTAAAAAGTTCTATTATTAAGTCAATAATTTGACAAGTGTTGCTATTTTTTTTTCCTTCTTTTTAAAGGCTATGTATAATGTAAATTAATATCCAGCAGCTATTCCATTCTTTCGGAAATCACTTGCAGCTACACGTAATAAAAAAAGAATTGGTTTATGAATAAAAAAAAATAATAATAATAAATTCAAATTTTTGTTAAATATAAAAAAAATTATATACATACCATGAATAGTTCCATTTTCAAATTTTCTAACACATTGAACTTGACATCCGTAACCTCTATTATAGATACTGTGTATTTTAACCTATTAAAAAAAAATTAGGAACAAATTTTTAATATTAATTTTTATCATTAAGCATTCAAAAAGAATTTAAATTATAAGTTATATATACTTACAACATGACCAATTTTAATAAGACGTTCTAATATATCGAATGAAAATCCTGATTCAACAAATAACTATAAATTCATGATAAAAAATTATTCGTAACGTTGAAAAATTATTACAATGAAAAAAAATCCACGAAAAAGTTACTAATATTTACCTCATTTGGTAATAGTGGGTGGTATAACCTTGGATAGTCAATAGCTTCCAGAACGTTCATATTAAATTCATAAATATTTAATAACGTCTATGAAAAAGAATATCGTTGTTAATCTTTTTATTGCTATATAATTTTTAGTAAGTACGATAAACATAACACGAATAGATTTTGGTAGTACCTGCGTAACAGCTGACATAATTCTGGTACCACCACTAGCACCAACGGCCATTTCAAATCTTCCATCGGGTCTTTCGATAATTGTAGGTGATGTTGATGACATTGGTTTTTTACCTGGTGCTATTTAATATATAACAAACCAAAGTTTATTTTAACCCAATTTTTTTTTATTATAAATTAAAAGTTTAAATAATGAATGAGACTTACCAACAAAATTATGAGGAGCAGGCCAGAATCTTTCGATTGATGGTGGTACAGGAATTGCGAAATCATCCATTTGATCATTAAATAAGATTCCAGTATTTGGATCCATAACTTGTGATCCCCAGAAATGATTAAGCTAATTTTCAAGAATTAATTAGTTAATTTAATTTTGTATACATACAATATAAAAGATTTGAAAAAAAAATTTCAAATAAAACATACTGTAGCAGTCATGCTGACAGCCATTTCATCAGAATCTACGACTGAAATATGAGTTGTACCATGATCTTCGAGTGTAGCATACTCGGGGTCATAATGACTTGGTACAAATGTATGTGTCTAAAAATTTTAAAAAAACGGTAAAAGATCATATATAATTAAACATAATGTATGTAAATGTATTTTTATATAATGTATAAAACTTAAGTAAACTTACATCAGAAAGATTGGCACGAATCCTTGCAGCATATTCTTTGGAAATTATTTCATTTATACGTTCTTTGTGAGCTGTAATATTTTTGAACTATATACAATATGAAAGGTTATTCAGTATATAAAATTTGAATGATTCTTACTTAAATAAACACTTGTAAATAATAAACACTTGTAAATTAATGAATACTCACAAATGCTGGATCACCCAATTCGGTACGTCTAGCAATGGCATCTAAATTTCATTGATTATGTAAAATGTGTAGAAATTATTAGCATAGTGTATTAAAAATAAAATATATCAAGTATAAACCAAAAATTTTAATTACATTTGAATGCTTCAGCCATTCTTTGAACATTTAAAGCTGTACGACCTGTTTCGTGGAATTTATATTCTTCCAAAACATTTAATAAGAATAATAAAATTGTTCCACTACCAGGTTCAGGAGATGTTATGATCTATTTTTAAAGTTCAAAAACATTATAAAATTAATCTAAAAAAAAAAAAGCCTTTTTCTTTTTGATGTGACGACAAACCTTTCGTCCTTGATAATGTCCTATAAGAGGTTCGCGAATAGTAGGTTTATAGGCAGACAAATCTTCTCTAGTTATTATACCACCTCTACTTTGGATTGTATTGACAATTGATTCTGCGATTGAACCCTTTAATTATAATTAAATATTTTAAATTTAAAAAATTAAAAGGTTAATAAATATTTTGAAATAATAATATAAACATTTATAATAATAGTAATAATATATATCATATATACCTCATAAAATTCATTGACATCTTCTGCAACTTTTTCCAATGATTTAGAATAATTAGTTCGATACATAATATCACCTAATTTCTTTAGTTTTCCATTCTCATCACAAAAGATGTCGCATAATTCTTTGTTGTGTTCAATTTTGTATAAATACATCTTTTATTAATGTAAAGACAAATTTTATAAGTGAGTGAAATCATGTTAACAAAATACTTAAGTACGTATGTACGTCTTAACAGTTAACAAAATTTTAAAATTAAAGTACCTTCATAGTAACATATAATTCAAGTGGAATAGGAAAACCTTCTCGGGCAATTCTAATTGAAGGTTCAAGAAGACGTTTCCAAGGAAGTTTACCGTGTCTAAATATTATAAAATAAATTATATTTAATAATGTATATATAATTTTTGTAGACATTTAATGATAACAAGTCATATCGATAAGTACCGTTCATGAGCCAATTTCAATCCGCGAAGTTCACCACTGTGGAAAAAAAAGATTACAATTTAATTATATTGATAGTAATTATAATTGTGAATTATTAATTATGAACTATTAATTATGAACTATAAAATCATATATTATAATACTTACGGTACGGCAATAGAAAGGGGTCCAACCTTTGCCTTTAGTGGTTCTTGTTTAAACATATCTTGATAAGCAGCACGAGGAGCGACTTCACGAAAATCTATAACCTCAGCGAATCCGTTGGGTAATCTTACTAACATGAAACCACCTCTATTATAATTATCACGTGATGACAAAAGAGAATATCGGTCACTCTGCACTCGAAAGAATCAACGGCAATAATAATAATAAGAATAATAATAGTAATAACATACCCTCCAATACCAGCAGCAAATGCATTAACAGTACCGACACATATGTGAGTGGTGATTGCGGCATCAACAGCATTTCCGCCCTCCTTTAAAACTAAAGATAAAGTTTATAAATTTCTTAGGTTTAAAATATAATATGAACAAAATAATGAGAGGTAATGATATTTGATATTGTTAATTACCATCAACACCAAATTGAGAGCAATTAGCAACTTCGGATGCGACAGCACCGGTTTTTGCAATAATTAGATTTGGATCAGCCCATTCAAAGTCATTTTCAATTTCTATTACAAAATTGAGTTAGTTATATCGATAAAATATATAGAATAGTATGAATGTTTAAGTATGAACGTACCATCAGATGGATTGAAAAAAATCAAAGAGAACCACAAAATAGCAAATATGCAAGCTACTCCAATAACAACTTTTACTACACTTAAAAATTGTTTACGACGTTTAATATGGCTTAGCAAACCAATTTTATCGTCATCATTTTCAGAGCCATTAGGACGATTACGAGGTAGCCCTTCTTCGATCGATTGGTAAGTGGTCATTCTTTTCTCCTCTTTTTCAATTAATGATTTAAGCGTTTATATGTGCGCTTATATGTGAAGTTCTATATATATATAGATATATATTTCTTCTAAATATAATTTCGAGGGGAGATCAGAAAGAGCAACGAATTTTTTTCTTCATCAGTGGGCATTATATAAAAAAAAATCGGTATAATCATATAATATAATAAAATAAAATAATATAAATAAACTAAAATAATTTAAAAGTAACACATTGAATAAATTTGAATAAAAAAAAAAAAAACGATTCGAACGCAAAATCAATCAATAATCAAATGTCCGATAAATTATACTAATATAAAATGATACTAATTATACATCTAAATCATTAAAGATATAGTCTAAAAAGTATTTTAAGTTCTATTAATATGTTTTACCCGAAAAGGTGTAATCATTTTTGAACTCTATTGTCTGTTATAATAAACAATGTAGGTACGTGCGTACGACCTCGGACAAAAACTACACCTTTCAAAAAAAAAAAGAAATAGATTGTCTTGCGTTGATCAAGTATACAATGTAAGATTATGCTAGACAGGAGGTACGAATTTACATAAATATATGATAAATAACAAAACAGTAAAAAAAAAAGCCATTTTCCTAATAACAATAACCGGGGCGGCTTAACTTTCATTGGAATGACATGCAAATAAACAATTTGAAGATCTCAAGACGCAGCCGAAAGTAGTTGATGAGAAAAGTATCTACATCGAGTGGTACGTATGTATAAAATTTTAATAATAATAATGATAAAATAATAATAACATAATATATATTAATAATTAATAATATATAATAATTAATAATAAATAATAATAATAATAATAATAATAATAATAATAATAAGATATATTATTTAACCTACGCCAATCCAGTAAGTAGAAATTTGGTTTTACATTCGGTCGGACTTTCGGTAAATAAGAAATTAAAAATAATATTTATGATTAAGATCAAGATTAGATTAAAGATATCAATAGCAACTATGTTTTTCAACCAATTATGGTACACATAACATCTATTGCTATTGTTTCATATCATATATTTATATTTTAATGGCCAGTTACCCGAGTCTACTATATTGGTTAATTGGCGTTAATGATAGGAACGCACGTGCATATGCATATGTGAATTAAAAAATTCCATAAGGTATTTTATTTCATTCCAAATCCAGTTGTGTCTAAATCCAGTTATGAGAAAAAAAAAAAAATCTGTGGGAAACGCACGTTTTCTAGAGTTAACATTTCCATTGGATGCACAAAATGGTTTGATAAATAAGAATTATAAAAAAAAAAACAATAGGAAAACAGAGGATTATTAATCTAATATAATGGTTAATAGATAATCTATGTACATATGTATCGGAACTTCAAATGCAAAAAAGGTTTATCTAAAACAAATACAAAACCCCAGCGTAAAACTGACCTGAAAAAAATTATTATTTACATATGAGGACAGCATTAAGGATAGGCTTTCGTTATTTAATCTAGGAGTATCAGATTAAGTATTAGATTAAGTATTAGATTAAGTATTAGATTAAGTATTAGATTAATTATTAGATAAAGTATTAGATCATGATATAGTTATATCAAAATCTCATAAGGAATCTTTTTTTCTAATACGCAGAAGATAATTCCATAAGTAAAATTTTTTAAACTGTAAATTCCAAAAGCTTATTTACTTACCCAATCATCGCAGAAGGAAAATTTGACATTTCTTCTATTATTGCGTCATTAAAAAAAAATTTCATAAATAGAAATTGAAATGATTTTCCAATTATTTATCATTGCCATATGTAGAGATTGCGCTAAAGCCATACATATATATATGTAAATATATAACGGTAGTTAACTAATTAATTTATACCCGACTTTATATGTTACAAAATGCCCGGTCTTTCATTAACTTTATCTAAATTCATACATGTAGTACGGGTCGAGAACGTTCACGTGATCGAAACCATTAAACCGCTTTCCGCCATTTTCATTTCTTATAGTTTGTGATAAATTTGGGTAACTGACAAAATTACGATTTGATTTGTTGATTGCATTTAATAAAATGATTATTGTTTTTTTTTTTGTTTATTATTATTATTATTACAATGGTCTACGCTATTTACTCACGACCCAATCATGATTCGGATTTTTTAATGTACAATAGAGCTTTCAATACATTGTACTTGATAGAAAACAACAGTTATCGTTTCAGAACTGATTTCTCTGTACAAATCGAAATGAGCCAAGATGTAACATTATAAGATTTACTCAATTTTAGTCATTCTATGATATTCTATGAAGAATATTTTTTTAAGAATATGAATCAATTTGACCAAAAGTCCCAAGTTCTGCAACGTTACATCTTGACCCAGGTCAAGATATGTGTCTAAACGTCGGTATGAAACAGGATTTTTTGATATGAAATTTATAAATGATTCTTTACTACTGTTCTACTTTTATTTATTTATTTGATTTTTTTTTTTTTTTAAAAAACAAGAATTTCTTGCATCACACGAAAGAATGAAGCTACCCTAATCAAGAACAGATTAAAATAGATTAAATAGATTAGAATAAATTAAAGTATATTAAAATAGATTAAAATAGATTAAAATAGATTAAAAAACCCTTATCAAAGCTTTAAGCCCGAATAATTGTGATCCCTTAAAGTGCCTACTTGACTTTTTCTTGCCAAGAGTCTTTTATTGGGAATAAAACCTTCGATACGGAAACCTGGTTTGAAGCGAAAAGAATTAATTTATTATGTGAAACAATTTAACTAATCAGATAACGATCAATGATCTTAAATTTGGTAAAGAACATTAGATATACCCTTTTTAACTTTGGCGTGGGGGAAAGAAAAAACAAGGTTTGATTATGTAACTTTATGTATATAACACATATGTATACGTATAATATGTACAGTACATAATGATCAACTGAATATAGTCATTCCGACATACATATGAGATGGATTCATCTTCAACCTTACTTAACAAAATTAATTTACTCGCATTGATAATCCCTCTTGAGTTTAGCGTTAATTTTCGATTTTGTGTTTATCGGATTTTAAGTATATTTCTCATGCGATTATTGCATGATACATACTTTTAACTCAGTTTTGCGACTGAGCCTTTCTTGTGTAATACTTTTGTAAATTTTAATAATACCTGTTTTTTAAAAAAAAACTAAGGTATTTTTCGATCCGTAATTGATTTTTTAAAAATCAAGTTTCTTCGAAAATTGATGTTCTTAGTCGTACGACAACCTTCAGTGAGTTTATTTCAGAAAAGTAGTTTGTAAAGTAGTACTGTACGATTGTACAAATATGTACGGACATACGAAAATTGAGCAACCTTTTGATAGTACGTACAGTTAACCTAGGTTTGTAAAATCAAATTTTTACGTACAAGTCCATTATCCATTTGGTACAAAATCATTGGGTGTGGCTAATAAACATTATTTAATCTAATTAGCTAATGCTTACTCGCCACACCGATGATTCGTCACACCATCATGCCAAATGAAAGAGGTGACCTTTTTTTAGGTTTAGGGTTAGGGCAAGTGCGAGCATTGTTCTTTTTTCGTGTGAGGTTATAGGAAAATTAGCTTTGTTTCGAATACCGTATGTACTATCATGATTTCCACATGTCCGTCCCAATTTACGTTTCCGTACCGTACTAATTTACTATATACCCTTTTCAGAAAGCCAAGCTTTCGTATATCAATAATAAAACCAACAAGATTAATACGTACGTACCTTAATTAAAATTAATAAATTTACCAAGATTAACGTACATATTAACCAAGGTTAACCAAGATTAATCAAGATTGACCGAGATCAACCAAGATTAACTAATATTAACCAATAATTTTAAACAATATTAAGATTAACAAAGATTAACGAAAAAATGTACACTGACTCTCATAATTATTGTTCCATTTCTTTTTTTTATTTTAGATCACGATATTTAACGTTTTATAAATCATA